CTATAAAAGCTGCTGCTGCTGCCTTGTGACTGTGGAGTACTCATACTCATTCCCTGCTGATGCCCAGGGCGCCGCAGTGCCTGCCCCTCCCAGGCCTGGCCCAGGAAGTCAGGTGGAGCAGGATCCGGAGCCACCCTTTAACTTCCTGGTCCCATGTGGAGCCAGGCAGGGCAGTGAGCCTTCAGAAGAGCAACTGTGGGGCCACTCGGCAGGCAAGAGGCCACACGCAAACATCAGGACGGGTTTGGGCAGAGCCTACGGAAAAGCCAAGACAATACACCCCCCCCCCACTCTCAAGCTGAGGAGAAAAGCAGCCATGGCCCCTGGTGCTCAAGAGGGAATTCTACCCTAGAGCATTCCATGGCCATGTACTCAGAGCTGTGAGGGACAGAAGCAGCCACTCCCATCAGTGTTCTGGGCTGGGTATATCAACATGACCTAAAGGGAGGGAACGAAGTCAGGTGGCTTGAGAAGAGATCCATTCTGTCCCTGGGAGCATCCTGAAATCTCTGGAGGAGATTGGGCTGGCTGACATGGCCGCTCAGGACCCTTTAGCATGCTCACTGTAACTATGCAGCTCTCTCGTGGGTGCTGCGGGTAGTTCCCTCTGAGCCACACAACACCTCTGGGCCTCTCGGCAGGATTCCCTTCGTTGATGTAGATCCCCCAGAGTCTTGGCTCTACAAGACAGAGTGAGTCGCAAGGGTTTGAGTGGAGGCAGGGCAAGTTTAAAGCAGAGAATCCCGTGCAGTGTGGTGATGTGGTGGTGTGGTGATGTGTGGGGGTGACTGTGAAGGGATTCCTGTCAGAGGGATCAGTCGGTAGAGAGGGAGAGGACAGGTGGGGGCAAACTCAGTTAACAGGCCCCCAGCTCCACCGTTAGTGTTCCACTAAGGGGTCTGGGAAGGTGAGCAGTGGGGGCAAGGCAATGAATGCTAGAGCAAGAAGCTCGTCTTCCCCTGCAGGCTTTGGTGGGATGGCTTTTCTATTCTGGGCTCTGACAGCCCTCGGGACCCTAAAATGCTCAGACTGTGGGAAAGTACAGCATTACAGGATTTTAGGGGTAGCCGAGCCATTGAGTGAGGAGCAGAGGGCCAAGCTGAGGGGATGCACAGAAGCTGGGCAAGAATCATGCTTGCAAGAGGGAGGGTATCTCTCTAGTAGACAAGACCCCTGGTAGCAGAGGAACACCCCAATCCCTGTTTAAGACCCAACCTCAAGCCCCTGGGGAAAAGGGGTTGCACAGCCCCCTCTGAAGGCCGGTTGAGTGTGATCTGAGGGACCTGGTCCATCACAGCCCATCCCCAGCAAAGCCTCAACTAGACTATTACATGGGAGCTGCGACCACTGGGAGGAAGAAGAGAAGTTGGTAGGATCAAGCACCCTCTACCACGCATACTCACTCTTTGCAGAGGTCCACAGCAGACTTTTCTGCCTCGAAGCAGTGCAGGCTGGGAAGGAGGTAAAGAGGCATAGTGGTCCCAACAGAAGCCTTCTCCTTCCTAGGGGAAGTTGTGGCTGTCAGACTCAGACAAGTCTCCCTAACATGCAAGCTGCTTGAAGATTCCCTCTTCCGTAAGGGCCCAGGCTTGGGCCTCTCCTTCCAGGCTTCCCCAGGATACACACCCTCTCCACTGGGATTGGAGAGTCTGGGAGCGGTCACTAATGATGCCGTGATGACTTCACTGTGAGGGCAAGTTGGGAGTACTTGAGGGAGTATTGGGGTGGAAATCATTATGGGTACAGAGGCAGCTGACACCACAGAGGAAAAAAGAAGGTGGCAGGGATTGCATGCCCAATGAGATGCCCCAGCTGTGAACAAACCCAGAGCTCCATGGACAAGACCAGATCTTAGAGGGGGACAGGATCACTATGTAACTGAAATCAGGGATCAGGGACCAGTATCCAAATCTGTTCTGGACCAGGATCCAAGTGATGAGTGTTCTGTCTGTGCATCCGAGTACAACAGAGATGAATCTCTAGGATGAAGCGACCATAACACTCAGGATCAGGGTTCAAGATGTAACTAAGTCAGGGTGTGAAAGGGATTGGACTTATTGTGTTTATGGCCTTGGGTATCTGTGTCTCTCAGGTCCAGAAGAAACTTGGGACAAATAGCAAGCTCTGTTGCCTATTGGCATACCAAAGTACATGCTGGCCTCCAGGCTCTCTCAGAATCACAAGTACCTGTTACAGAATCCATGCTGGCATCCTGATTTCTTCTTAGCTCTGCTCACTCCACCTGCCCACCCTAAACTTCTCCAGCCCGTGAACTTTCCTCCCCACAACTTCTCATTCACTAATAACTCTACTGTTTCAGCTATTCCTTCTCTCTTTTGTCTCCACTTCTTGGTCCCCTCTCTCTTGGTCTCCTTTCCTCATTCATGTTCTCATTCATCTTCATCTCTTACTCTCCTCCTATCTCCTTTCACAGCCTGGTCCAGTTTCTGCTGGCCATGTCCGTTTACTACTTTCTCTCTTTGCTCTGGACTCTTCCAGTTGCCTCTGGCTGTACTCTCCCTCATATCCACAATAAAAATTTCCTCAGCCATGCTTTGGAGCAGTCATGCCCTTATTTTATACATCTGGTGCTGCGGAAACCCTCAGTTTATACAGTCTATAATTAGAATCAGGGCTCATCCTATCTCTGGGATCAAGACTCAGCATGTAATCAGGATCCACGCTCAGAGAGGGATCAGAGTCCTTACAACACAACAACAAAACAAACAAACAAAAAATCAGGGTCTCCTTATGTAGCTCTGCCTGGCTTGGAACTCACTATGTAGACCAGGCTGGCCTCCATCTCGCAGAGATATGCCTGCCTTTACCTCCTGAGCACTGGAATAAAGGTGTGCACCACCACACCCCGTAGAGTTCAATGTTTGACTAAGGTTGGGCTTACAGTCTTATGTGAATGGAGGCTTCTTGTGTTACCGAGATCAGGGCTCAGTGCAATGAGCAGGCGCTGGTCTCAGAGTGTGACAGAAACTAAGGCCCTCTGATTTACTGACACCATGACTCAGTGAACACGTTTTAGAATGTGATGTGATATTCAGATCAAGGCAGAGCTTTATTCAGAGCGAGGGCTCAGATTCTTGGAGCAGAGCATCGGTTTGTGTGCCTCCCTCCTTCCTTACCTGACCGGACTCTGGGATATTCTGAACATGGTGCCTGGCCCTCACAAGGCTCAGGATACCTCAGAACCCCACCATTGTGCTTTTGTGTCCCCAGTACTTCGGTATCATTCCCTGTGACCACAGATGGCCCTGGGGAGTTTCTGGGGAGGCAGGATCCTGACGGTTGGCATCACCCTGGGATTCACTTCCAGAGGAAATGCCATAATGTTTATTGCAGGTCTCTGATTGTGACACCCACCCAAATCCAGAGCAGACAGAGCCTGGGAAAAATCCATAGAGAATAGTCTGTGTTGCCATCCCTGGGGTCTTTTCTTCCAGCACGTTCTTAGATGTAAAGCAAGAATCCATCAAGCAGCACCCTGCTTCTTCCTGGGAACCTTCTGTGTCCTCAGCAATGAGACACCAGGTCCTACTCCAAGTTTCCTCTCAACCACAGAATACCTTTCCTGCTTCCTGGCTGGTACGTTGGAACCATAGGGCCATAGGAAGGCTGTACAGTTTACTCAGCAAACATTTCTGCCTAGAGGGCCTAAGGGTAAAGACCCTGTGTCCTGGGTAGCACAGAGCTCCTCTTAGAAGCCTCAGGGTGGTAGACTTCCAGGGTACGTGTCTCTGGGACAGAAGGTATTCTGGATGACCGCAGCAGGGACTGACCTCTCTGAGACTAGAGACAGAGGTGGCCACCAGCCCTGCCAGACCCCACCTTTCAAAACCCAGACTGAATCTCTCCTATTAGGAGAGACAATGGACTCTCATCTCTCATCTCCTGGGAGGCAAGATTTGGTGGCTTGTTTGTAGGTTGCAGTGGCCAGAAGGAAACTATTGCCTGAGGTCATGTGGTCAGGTCCTGAGAGTGGACAGTGCTTGGGCTGTCTACAGCAGCCAGCCAACAAGAGGAACACAAAGAGCCAGCCTATGGGTGGGGAAAGTCTTTTTGTGCCCCGCAGGAGGGGCAGGGGGACAACGGGAACCAGCAATGCTTCATGTACCGCTCTCTTCCTTGCTTCTTCCCGGAGGTTCCTTTCTCCTGAAAAACCCCAAAAATGTCCATATTTGGAGGGTCAGCCAGCTGGTGGGGGGGTGGGATCCTGTTAACCCTTCCTCTTTAAATAAAGGGATAAATCAGAGCAGAGTTAAACACTACGGCAGGAACATAAACAGCGGGTGGCTCCAGCCCAGCCCCCTGCCTGCCCCACGCCACCCTGCGCAGAGTCCAGTGTTTATTTGACTCACACCGGACGCCAGGCAGCTAGGCAGCTTCTGCTGCGACCTGCCTCCTGGCTCCAGCTCTCAGCACCCAGTCAGCCCGCTGAGCACCCATTCTCCAGGGAAGGTCCAGAGTGGTGATCTGGAGCTGGCCCGAGGGGAGGTAAGAACAGACCAGGGCCCAGAGGCTGGGGCCCTGACAAAGGGTGTGGAGCAAGCAGCTGCTAGTCTCCATGCGGCCTAGCTAGTCTTTGTCCCAGCAGAACTGGTTCATCATCCACCAGCTATGTAGCTATGTCGGCAATGCTCCCAGAGGCAATGGGATTCCAGTGGCACAGAGTAGAAAAGGAAAGCACAGTAGTTAAAGGACTTGCCTGAGGAGGCGCAGCTAGGACGCGTAAGAGCTAGCTCTGAACTCACAGCGCGGCCCTGGGTGTTGTCTTCTCTCTGGAGTCTGACTACAGTCCTCTGCTGCAAGGTTTTGTCTGTCCAGCGAGATAGACCTCAGGGACCTCAGCATCTCGCTCCATATACTCAGCATAGTGTCTGGGTGGAATGGAGAGAGCTGGGCCAAGCAAAAGCATGGGTTGGGGAATCCCAGATACCTGGGATGACTCGTCTGCTTGCTTCCAGGCTGGGGGTGCACTGACCACTGCCATGCCCTCTGCACTCTCCACGAGACCCTGGGATGCTGAGCTCCCCAATGCCACCATGGCGGCATGGACCAATGGAAGCACGCCAGAGACACCCCTGTTCCACCTCTTTGCCCAACTGGATGAGGATCTGCACACAGACTTCCCCAGCCTGTGGCTGGCATTAATGGTCGTGCATGGCACCATCTTCCTTGCCGGGCTGGTGCTCAATGGACTGGCACTGTACGTCTTCTGCTGCCGCACTCGGGCCAAGACGCCTTCAGTCACCTATACCATCAACCTGGTGGTGACTGACCTGCTAGTCGGCCTGTCCCTGCCCACACGCTTTGCTGTCTTCTACGGTGCCCGAGGCTGCCTGCGCTGTGCCTTCCCTCATGTCCTGGGCTACTTCCTCAACATGCATTGCTCCATCCTCTTCCTCACCTGCATCTGCGTGGACCGCTACCTGGCCATTGTGCAACCTGAGGGTTCCCGCCGCTGGCGCCAACCGGCCTATGCCAAGGCTGTGTGCACCTTCGTGTGGCTGGCAGCGGGAGTCGTGACCCTGTCCGTCCTGGGCGTGAAATCTGGCGGACGATTATGCTGCCGTGTCTTTGCTCTGACCGTACTGGAGTTCCTGCTGCCGCTGCTGGTCATCAGCGTGTTCACCGGCCGCATCATGTGTGCACTGTCTCGTCCAGGCCTGCTACGCCAGGGCCGCCAGCGCCGCATGAGGGCCATGCAGCTGCTGCTCACGGTGCTAGTAATCTTCCTGGTCTGCTTCACACCCTTCCATGCCCGCCAGGTGGCTGTGGCACTCTGGCCCAGTGTGCCTCACCACACAAGCCTCGTGGCTTACCATGTGGCCGTCACCCTCAGCAGCCTCAACAGCTGCATGGACCCCATCGTCTACTGTTTCATCACCAGTGGCTTCCAGGCCACTGTCCGGGGCCTCTTCCGCCAGCATGGAGAAGAGTTCAAACCCAGCAGTATGGATGTGGTCAGCATGCACAAGAGTTCCAAGGGCTCAGGCCCCCATCACATTATCAGCTCTGGCTCTCACACCCTCACCCAGCCTCTGACCAGAGCCATAAGGGCCTGAGCCATAAGAAGTGTTCTGCCAAGGGTCAAAGTCAAGGCTCTGGGAGGTTACCAGCCAAGCACGTCCTGGGCCTGGCCAGCAAGTTGGTTTCCCATTGATCCATTGGATATGACTGCCCAGTGTGTATTGATAAACTGAGCCCACTGTACTGTGATTGATTAGCAATGTCTGCAAAGGGCTCGAGATAGAGTATAATGGTGTGAATGCTGGATGCTTGCCTTTCCTATGGCTCTGTAGTGTCCACTGGCTACTCAAAAAGATAGCCAGGAGCTGCTCCTAGCTACCATTATTTTGTTCCCTGAAGATTAATGTTCTGAGGACTCCCAGAAGGGCTAAACACAACCAGAAGGGTCTCCACCACAAGCAGATGGAGAAACAAGAGTAGAAGGTCAATGTTTGAGGGACAAGAGTGTTGTCTACAGAGAGTGGAGACACTCCAGGCCTCTGTGAACTACACACACTGGCCAACATAGCAATACAAGGTGGCCCTCTGTGTGCCAGGGCTTGGATATCTGGTTGACACTTGAAACGTTGCAACCCCAAAAGAAGAAGCTAGTTTTAGTTTTATCCTTTGTGTGTGTGTATGTATGGATGGATGTGTGTATGTGTGTGTATGTATGAGTGTGTGTGTGTGTGTGTGTGTGTGTGTGTGTGTGTGTGCGCGCGCGCACGCGCGCGCAAAGAGGGAGAAGTGACACAGATACCACCATTGGACAATGGTGGGCTCAAAGCCAAGACTTAGTCTCATAGACTCCAGCATCCCAGCTCCTGCTTCCATGGCTACCTCCCAGATTCCCCAGACCCTGCCCAGGAATTGTCCTGAACTCACTGACTGCTGCCCCGGACTCTGTGAGGCTGCAGCCCCATCCAGTGGATGAAGACGCTAGGAATCAAGATACAAATCACCTCAAACCTAGGGCCACCAACCCAAGGCCTCTGCATTTCCTAGGCTGTCCCTTCTGGGGACCAGAGCTCCCGTGGGGATGACCCTCTGATCACCAGCTCCAAGCTGGACTCCGGGGGGTCTCATACTTGCCCTACTCTAGTTCTAGGTTCCTGATGTTTGAGGGAATGGTCTGCAGTGGAGGATCAAGCTCTGTGTCATGGTCCCTGATGCAGATGAAATAGGATCTGAGCACAGAATGTGCACGGATCTCCTGAGAAGTCTCCTATGTTCTAGGAACCTGGGACCTGAGTGACTGGGAACAGAAGGTAGTTGGGAAAGGGGCAGGATACAAAGATTCATACTGCTCTGGACAGGGTACCCATATCCAAGTTCAGGAGACCGTGTAAGAGCGAAACAGTTAGGAGTCTGGGCTTGGGGTATAGCTCAGTGCTAAATGGCTAGCTCATCATGGACGGTGCCCTGGATTCAATTCCTAGTACAACAACAACAAAAGAAAAAATTGTCAAGGACCTGAGGTTTGGAGGAAAGGCTTTGGAGAGGTCCATGGAGGGGAGGAGCATACTTTGATATTCAGAACAGTCTTGTCCCCCCAATCCCAATCCCAATTAGGTCTCCAGGACATCATGAGACCACTAAGGTGGAATGACATCAGCTTTCATTTCTTGTCTGGGATGACCTACAGTGCAGTCATCAAAGATGTACCAAGAGAGGCAGTGGGGGCAGAGTCTTGCCTGGGGCTTCTTTCTGTCTGTATACCTGAGGGGAGGTGCAAAATCATGACACTCTTTTACTCCCCGAACCACCATGTCCCTGACACTCGGTAGAGGCTTCTGTTGTGCCTCATACTGGGGTCCCTCCCCAAAGACCAGGTTATACGGGGTCAGAGACCCCCAGACTCCATCCCAAAGGGTCTCTCAAGTTCCTATAGGCTACCCGAAGCCCTCCCCTGTGCCCCAAGCCTATGTCCCTGTAACCTGAGACATGATGCTCCTCTAAGCATGATTCCATCCTGTGCTATGAGATCCACAGAGGTGGGGGCTGCAATGGAAAGCAAGGCTGAGGCAGAACAAAGGCCTGCTTAGAAATGCATTCAAGCCTGTGCCTCTGGGAGCCAGAAATGGACAGGGAGCTATACCAGCCCCTTTAGCTTCACACAAACATCACTCTAACCTTCTTTTCTAGCACATGCACCAGTCTCCTGCCCCGGCCCCACTGATTGTGACATGCCAACCAGTTTGTTTGTTACCTTTGCCCTTTTTCATCCCCATCAAAGCCCCTCCATCCTGGTTCCTTGTTGTTGTCATTCTAATTCACACTAAAGAGCGAGTAAGTAGGCTTGATGGTAAAGAGGCTACAGTTCTTCTGGGGCAGTCCTTTCTAGAAAGGATCTCTTAAGTGGATGAGCAGATTTCCCTCCTATCCCCACTTCTCAAATAACACCATCAACCTGAGTCCCTCAGGGCCTTGGAAGCTTCTTGGACCGTAAGAGCCTTTAGTGAAGGATTTTGAGGGCCTAAGCAGAAGCTTGCTACCATTCAAGCCAAGTGGACTGACTGCCATCGCAGGGTCAAAAGCCAGAGCTTGGGATCATCCTCCCACCTCTGAGCACTCCAACAACCTCTCTTGAAGAGCTGTGGCCTCAGTTTCCCCATATCACGCTCTGGAGAGCCGATTTTCAGGGCAAAGCATCTTGACAGGTCTCCCTGGTCCTGGCAGGCCAGAATATCACAGAGATATTGCAACTAAGGGTTTGTCCAGAAAGGCTCTTCTCAGGCCCTTGGTGGCCAGGCTATGAGGTCTCCATGACCAGTCTGTCTTCAAAACACCAAGTGACGTGAAATGTGTATTTATATCCGATGTAAACAGCATCCTTCACTGGAAGTCCCCACCCCGAATCAACACTGTTTATTTTCTCTGTGCTCAGCTTGGCTCCCAGCTGGCAGGTGGGGGCTGGTGGGGACACCTAGCTTCAAGGGACCTGTGTGCCCCTCCCTCTCCTGTCACTGTCCTGTGGAACACCCAAGGAGAGAATGCAGAGACAGGTGAGCAGCTAGAGGCCCACTGAGACTCATCAGATACTCAAGGTGAAACCTAGGGACAGGGGGAGCATTTTCCCATCTGTGGGCCTACTGAGTGCCTGGAAGCCATTCTCTCTGCCCTGAAAGGTGGAAGTATCCACCTCACTTCATTAATGGGGGACACTGTGTCTGAGACTTAGCTTGGGAAGGTTCTGTTTGATGCCCTGGTTCCCAGCTTTTATCTTTCAAACAGCCTGTCTGGCCTTGGCCCAGGGAGGCTCAAAGGAGACAGGGGTGCAACGAGGGACTTTGGCTGTTACAAGGCTCATCATTCTTCCTGTCTGGCAGCCTCGAGCAGCCGGAGGCGTCTAGAGGTAAATATTAGGGACTGTTTAGATTAACCTCCATTAATAGCAGGAAATGTCACCTCTGGTGCCTGCCCTGGCTTCCTGTAGTCCTGAGGCTGAGCTAGTCCATCTCAAACTGATGGCCTGCAGGGAATTGCTCAAATGAATTCCAGGCTCAGGCCCTCCACACCCATGCTCCCAAGCACAAGGCCACCTACAGGCATGAAAGGACTCTGCCTGCCACAGCCCCCTGACCCTCACTCTTACCTCCTAGGGGGATCCCGGAAGCAGGGGTGCAAGCACCAGGGAAAGAGACACTGACTGAATGATGGTAGCCACCTCCACATAGCCTCTGGGCTTGGCTCCCAGTTCTCAAAGGAAAAAAGTGAGGCTGGAAAAACAAGGAGACAAGGCAACGGTCCACTTGTGTCACCCAAAGCCAGGACTGGAACTCCCCACACAGACCATGTCCCAGTCTGGACCCATATACACAGGAGCCAATGAAAATGTGGCCCTGGCCAAAAAGTCAAAGAAGTACCTTCTGAATGCCAGCAAGGGTCACTTGGCCTCAGAGCAAGGTATGGGGGCCAGGGCATAAAAGATGGAAAGGCTCTCCCTCACCCCAAATCACACTCTCTTAGGCACCCCAGTGTCCACAGGACCTCATGGCCCCAGGATGATGTCCAGATTCTTCAGCCCACATCACTCTCCTGCCTGTAGCCCTCCTTTGTGTCTGCCCCATCTCTACTCACACTATTGCTAATACCCCAGTACCCACACCACCACCTCCCTCCTCTGCCTTGCTCCCTGAGGCCACTTGTGCCAAGACTTACTCCTTTCCAGGCAACCACAAGATAGGGTGTCTATCACTAACCACCGACACCATAACTAACTAAGACCATCTGATTCTCCAGTTGAGCATCTTGTCCCATGCTGTGACATCATCCCGTACCCTGGTACTGGTAGCCTGCTGGCACAACTGGAACCAGGCTCAGATCAGCCTCTGACAACAGTGAGTGATCCTGGTCATAGGAGGGCTTCATTGCAAAGAAGGTGCCTCTGCCTTAGCCTCTCCCATCAGTTTCCTTATCAGCCTGCTGAGCTGGGATGGTGCTCTGAAGAGCTAGGACCAGGGACACCACTTTCCTGCTCCTCATCTGCTACCCACACAAAGTCCATCATTTCTTGGTGGCAGTACCCAAGCTTCTAAGAAGACCATGAGCCTGACAGCTTCAACCCCCTGTTGCTTTACTCAGCAGAGGAGGCACCTCAGGTTGGGAATCAGGGACCAAGTCCCAGTTAGGTTCACTTTCCAGCCAGACCTGGGCTGCCACCTTCCACTCCTGCATAGCAAAGGCACCCACACTTACACTGATAGGGTGTGGGGAGCCTCCCCACCTCACTGACCCATGGCGCCAAGCTCCTGTCTATGGTAGGGAGCTCCAGAGCTGTGAATTCCCCACCTCATCCTTCCTCGTGCAAAGCCATAGGGTTATATCGGGGAAACTTCCAGAATCCTGCTCGGGAGTTCACAGCCTCATGAAGACAGGCACCCAGGGAAGGTCCAAACCAAGAGGACAGGGCATTTTCACCCTCCTGCCAATTACTCCTGTTCTCTTAGGCCCCAGTTTCTTCTTCTGACCTTTAGTGGACTCACTCTGCCTTAAGGTGAGGGTACAAGAATAAGTGAGAGTGTGTGACCAAGGCAGGAGGATTACCTCAAGTTTG